TATTTGTTTATTTTTTTGTTAGGCCTTGGTCCTACCATAATGCAGGCTCCTGGCCAACACTGCTCTGGCAGGTTTGTTACTGTGGCAAAGTTTGACACATTTGAATTGAATCTCTCTGGTTGAAGCAGTTTTGATTTAAAGCTTCTATCCTTTTCTTCTCCCTAGCTCTTATTATAAATGTCCTATGTGTATTTTCTTTCAGCTAGACATGTAACTGAACGAGTTTAGTTATCTTTGTCTGGCCATCGATGTCCATTTATTTTATTTACATATAAAATCCTTTTCAGTGTACTTTGTTTATACAAGTATTGCAAGTTGGAAATATCTGGTGGAAAGCAAGCCTTTAATATGAAATATGCCTATTACAGCTCACAGTTGCATGCATAAAGATGAAGCGAACACATATTGCTGCAAAAGCTGTTGAGATTGCCGAGAGACGCATATCAAGAGACAGGTGGCCAGAATATTATGACACGAAGAGATCTCGACTTATTGGAAAGCAATCACGACTATACCAGACTTGGTCAATCGCTGGATACCTTGTGGCGAAACTGCTCCTAGCAGACCCAAGTAAAGCGAACATACTGATCACTGAAGAGGATTCTGAGCTTGTGAACGCCTTGATTAGTGCCAACCCCAGAGGAAAGCGTGGGCGCAAAAATTTGAAGCAAACTTACATTGTATGAGTGTTTAATTGCAATTCATGTCGATTCATTTTTCTTCTGCTTATTAGTACTTTAGCAGATGTTATTCTAGCTAGCTAGATAAGGCAGGAGTATGCGAAAAATTATAGTAGTTTGGTTGGTTGTGATGAAATTACAAAATATTAGTACTAATGTATATGAATGTATTTGTGAAAACTGATGTCAATAATTCAGGTACAGGATTGTAAGTAGTACACACAAGGTACCATATATTATGAGGACTTTCATACTGTCAATTTTGAGAGAAAAGACTAGTTTTTGTCCCTCTTTGCACTTCATAGAATAGCATGTGGATTGAATCTGTAATGGAAGAAAAAGTGCAGTGGTACAACTGGAATTCAAGGTTAGCCACTCTGAATATTTGACCATTGTTTTTGGTGAGGTAAATTGCACTACTCTAATCAGAGACCAAATTGAGTGACTTCAGTAGTTCGTTGTGGTTATCCTAATTGTGTCCATCAGTCTCTTATATGCATCTCCCTTTGTCCTTCCATTAGGGGGTGCAAGAGAAAAATGTGGTGCAAAAACAGATTTTCTTAATCTTCTTTTAACTTTGAAAAATACATGAAAAAATTTAAAGAAAAAATGAAAAGTGATGCATTTTATTGGTTAAAAGAACTAAAAAAAATGAAAGAGTTGATTTTAAGAAAAAAAAAAAAAAACACTTTCTCCGCTCTTGTTTTTATTTTATTTAACTAAAGCGTTTACAAATTAAGTTGAGTTTATGATCTAAATTAAAATTGTTTATATTGGGTTGGATATATATATATATATATATATATATATATATATATATATATATATATACACATTAGAATTGAATAATAATGTAAAAAAAATATATATTAATATTTATAGGATATGAAACCTAATCTATCTTAATATACTTAATCCCTAATTTCACAACATTCTTTTATAAAATTTAAAATAAATTTAAATGGTTGAGCTCTATTGACCAACTCTACCATTTGTGGGTAGTTGAATTAGGATTTAAGTATATTAAGATAGATTAGGTTTCATATCCTATAAATATTAATACATTTTTTACATTATTATTCAATTCTAATATATATATATATATATATATATATATATATATATATATATTAATTTAGTTTATTAACACGAACAATTCAATTTAATGAAACAATAGATGCAATAAATAAACATCTCTTTGGTTGGTCACCCAACATGCCATAAGCATAAATGGGAGACTTTCTCATTTTGATTTCATGACAAGTACAATAAATTTTAAAAAAATGTTATCTGCTATCATGATAATTCAATATATTTTTAAAATTTAAAATAAGTACAATAATTATATATATATATATATATATATATATATATATATATATATATCGACGTAAATTAAAAAAAAATATCTATCACGTTAGATTTCATCAAAGTTACTGAATCAATCACAAAACAAACAACAAAAAACTATTTCGAATGCACAATATTTTTAGTATTGTTAGTTCATCATATTTTGTTGTATATTGTAAGATTATTGACTTTTAAACAAATATTTTAAGAGCCATTCTTAAGATTGTTTATATTTTTATATATAGTTATCGATATAAAAATTAAATTAAAAATCCAATTGTAAATAATTCCCAAGAGAAATCAACATTAAATATCTTGAAGGAGTACTACAATATAATCAACACCATTCATAATCCAACATAACTAGATAGTTATTAACCAACACCCAGTCTAATAAATTATACTTACATGAAACCTTCTTTATTTAACTCGAAGAGGTTAGGTTTAAAAAACCATATATATTTAATTATTTGTATATATTGTTTGTAAAATAATTATAGAGATTAGTTTCATTTGCAGAGAAAATGGAGAGTGAAAAATGAACAAAAAGAGACAATGAAATATGTCATTTATCATTATGTTCTAAAACAGATGAAAAGTAAAAAAAAATTACAAAATTATTCTCATTCAAAAAATTATTATTAATTTTTATGTTTATAATTTTAATTTATATATATATATATATATATTAATCATTAATTTAATAAAATATCATAGTGCTTATATAAATAAAATAAATAATTTAATATATTTTATTCAATTTTTAATATGATATTATTTTATTAATCTAAACTTAAATATTAAAAAAATATAATTTTATAATAAAAAATATTTTGTAATTATATACCAAAGTATATATTATAGAAACAATAGATATTAATTTAAAAACTATTTCATTAAAAAATAATTAATAATTATATGATTAATCTTTAATTAAATAATTATTTGATTTTAATTTAATTATTTACTATATATTAAAATGAATATTTTTTTCTTTTTATGTTATTTTCTTTTAAATAAACAATAATACTTTTTACTTTTTTTCACATTTCTTTATATGCTACTTAACACACTCTTACTAAGAGTGATCTTATCAATATCTTAAATTAATGAATTAAATATTGTGCCACATAGCAAGTTAAATTAATGAATAAAAAATCTATTAATAATGTCTATCTATAATAAATTATAGTTATTTGGGGAAAGTTATAGTTTCAAGGATGGTGAGGATTTTAAATCAGAACAAATAATATCAAACTTACTGTAAACAGTTTTCTTATTTTGGATCACAATAATTTGGTGATTAAGCTTCCAAAAATATAACATTTTAAATGTATTATATGTCTGTTTTTAACTTGACACCTGTTAATTTTAACTCTCACTCGTTTATTAAATTCATATCTCTTTAAATATATCCATCTACATATATAGTTTATATTCCTTAATTCGAACAAAATTCTCTTTATTATTATTATGAGGACAACTTGTTATATTGATTATGAAATTAATTATTTGGCTTTAAAAAAATTAATAAATAGAGGATATATTAAGTAAGATGAATATATACACTTAGCAAATAAAAAGAAAGGTTTGTGTGATGAAGATTAATTAATGAGAATCATTCATCTTTGCATCTTTTCAAATTTAATATTTTGATGAAAGCATTCACAATTTTGATTTTGGGTCTATATATTAATTATACTAATCATTTTGCAACATGTATTTAGTGTGTATCCTTTCTTCCATCACTCACTTTTGAAAATGAACTGCTTAAAGTTGCAGCTTTCTGATACCTTCAAATCCATGAAGCAAGAGGTCTTTCTCTAAACTCATTCTACGATTTATTTATTTTTTAAAATATTTTTTAGTCTTTTAGTTTTTAAAAATTTTAAAAACTGTTTAATATATTTTTTTTAAATTAAAAAGACCAATACTGATAAAAAAATGTTTTGTGTTTTATTTTTTTATTTTATTATTAGGTATTAACATTTTCATCAATAACTACGTTAAATCATTCGTTTTTATAATTATAACTTATTAAAATTATTTCTAATTTTCATCACTTTTTTTAATGTTATCTGTGCATGCTTTTTTTTCTGTTTAAAATAATTTTCAAAAGTAAAATTATCAAATAATTTTTAAACTAAAAAACAAAACTAAAATATAAAAATTTGTTATCAATTTAATTCTAGACTTATAACCTTTTTTTCCCTCAAAGTTTATGTAAATTTATGTTGAAGCTGAGTTTTGCTGCATGTTAAGCTGTCTCATTTTGCTATATATTTTGACCCCTCTTTGTTTTGTTAGGGTCTGGTAGATGATCAATTCTCTTTAGTCTACTCCTTGAAATCGAATATAGAAGATCATTTCTTCGTCGAAATTATATCAGAATTTTGCAGTTGTGCCCTAGAAGACTTGAGACTCTTAACACAGATAATGTACTTTTCACTTCTTTTTCATGCAATATGATATTTTTGTGAGAAAAAAGAAAGTATATTTTGCTTGTTTTTCAGTTAAAGCACAATAATTCATACACTTGTTCGTCTTTTATTGAAAAACAATATAAAATGTACCTATAAATTAAGCAATAAACGAAGTTCTGCATATTCTTGTACTCCTTAGTTTTAAATTGATATTTTGTTCAATGTAGGAATAACCAGGTTTGGAGCTACAATCTTATGAAAGAGTACGTTTATAAAGTTAAAGGGAGTTCTTCAAGGTAATTATTTAATATCTGCAGAACTAGGTTTTGATTCTCATGCTTATATCTTCAAACTTGTTTAATTATTAGTTTAATGTTACAATACAACAGTGAAGTTTTGTTAATTAATCTTCTTTTGAGGCATCATAAGCATAGTACAGTTCCAATATACCCTAAAATTGATGACCAAAAGAATGCTAGATACAAAAATTCTGATTTCTAACTGTTATTGATTTGGGTGTATATATCTCAGTTTTGGAGCATGTAAAATGGCAGCAGCACTTACTGACTTTGAACACGCCATTGATTCTTCCTCTAAAGAGAAGTAATGAACCTAAACCAGAGTGTTAGATGAATTTAAACCTCATATTTAACATATAACATCTTCAATTAACAAAAATCTCTTTGCAGGTGTCTCAAGGCACTGAAACAAGCTCGGCGTGAATTGAATGCTTTACAAGAAAAGCTTCATCTTTGCCTTCAGGTATTTATTTATACAGATTTTCTCAGTTCAAAATAACTCATGAATATAAGAAAATATTTGTTTCTTGTCAATGCTGAGAACTGAGTAATCAAAGGCTCTAAAACTAATTAAAGACAACAACACATGGTATTAAGGCAAATATGATAAAAAAATCGAGTTGACATCTATAAAATGTTAGTATTAACACAATTAATTGTATTTAATTTCAAGTGGCTACTCGTTAATAAGTAATGATAAGTATATAAACCTTCTATTTATCGACATTGTTATCTCTTTTTTCTTTTTATTTATCTCTCTTTATCATATTATATCTTCTGCAAATCTTTTTTGTTTTTTTCTTCCTATATGTAAATTGAGTTTGGATAATATTTATAATGTTTTACTGTGAAAACTTTTCTTGATGCAGTTTGAAAGAAGAATTATTCTCTTAGCTACCGAGGGTGGAACCAGTATGTGAAAATCAACTTATTCAGATTGATTTTCGTTGTTCTTTGTAGCAAGGATATTAATAGCGATTAGTTTTAAACATCTTTATCAGTTATGTGCCTAATTGCTTCTGTAATTAGTGCTATGTTTGAATTTATTCTCTGCTTATATGTTATGTTAAATTGACTCTCGTTGATCAAATTATATGTTAAGGTGTCATCAAATTATGGTTTATGTGGAGCCAATTTAAAATGGTTTTTGATTATTGATAACAATATCTGCTATCTTTTTCATTGAGTTCACATAAATTGTCACTTCAATTTTAGAATATATATAGAAAGTAACTAATTATGCAAGTTTCACGAAAGTATCTCCAACAAAATATGTTTATTGAAGTTTGTTTGAAATAATTTTTTATTGAAAAATCATAATTGACGTAGCAAATTATTTTAAATTTTGTGATTTATTTCAACAACTTAAAAAATATAAAAAAGGAAATGAGTACAAAAAAATTATTTTAATATTTTTATAATTTCTTCTATTTGAGTTACACTTACTAAAGTTGTTCTTAGAAAAATTATAAATAGCTTCATTAGGAAACTCTTCAAGCTTATTTTTAAATTATAAAAAGGAAAATTTTTAATAAGTAAATTAATTATTAAATTAAATTTTATTAAATTATTAATTAATTTTGTTCATGGAAAAATTAAATATATTTTTTAAAAATTTCACCAAATAATTAATTAAATTCTAATATAGTTAGGCAACAAGCGCTAGCCACTTAGCTAAGTAAGGTTCACACTTAATTTAACCAGTCCACCACGCTCGACTCGACCGGAATCGAGACTACGCACGTGCCATCGTCTCGAGACCACGCTCGCTCGATACCAATAGTTAGGCAACAAGCGCTAGCCACTTAGCTAAAAACTTAAGCTGTTAGTAAGGGTTCACACTTATAGAACCTTCCATTAAAATTTTTTAAAACAAATATAAACTTTTTAAAAAAAAGGAGGAAAATCGAGAGCAAGAAAGTAAGGCGAGTAGATAAGTGGAGAGGGATAAGGGAATCCAAGGAATACACTCGTAAAACAATATTTATAAAAGAATATAGATAATCATAAGGCTTAAATGAAAATCTTTTTGGTTGATTTTATACAATTTTTGATTTTTATGTTTTTTTTTTTATAAAGTGATAAAAAGATATATTTTTTAAAAATTTCACCAAATAATTAATTAAATTCTAATTAATTCATATTAATCAATAGTACTCTTTCTAATCTCTATTTTAAGACATAATTTTGAAAATAAAAAATCCTTGATATAAGACATTTTACAAACATGACTATGTGTTCTCGTTTTCGTTTCCAAAAGTGAGTTGGACTCTTGGAACATAGATTAGCCCATGTGTAGCGTCAATATTTGATAAGCATCTCAAAAGTCTTCGATATTGTTAAAGATCGAAGAACATAAACAATATATTAACCAAGGATGAAAGAAGAAAATAGTAACACGTTCAAGAACAAAGTGATTAAGAGTATATACGGATGAATTTGACTATAAAGATTTATTGGAGAGAAAAGAATGTACTTAACTAAACGATTTTTTTTAGAAATAAACTCAATTTCTCACGACATTGGAACATTAAATTTTGAGACTTTTTTTTTAAAGAGTAGATGGTTAGTAGATGACGCTAATGATATTAATTTCATAAAGCAATCTTTTGTTAGATATGAAGTTATTTAGATATGCTTTTTATGCGTCCAAGATAGACCAATATCTTTACTTCCATTCTGGTTGATGATGATAAAAATGGATTTCTACATATGTAAACTTAGGTTTGAGAACTCCTCATGGCAATTAATTTCCATAAAAAAAATGTTTACACTTAGAAAGGCTAATAAAATGATAAAGTGAATATAGAGATGAAGAGTAAAGAGCCAAAAAGTAAGGCAAGATACAAATGTGGCTAGTATCTTAACTAGTTTTTAATTAGTACATCAAGACTAAAAAGCAAAATGCGTGGTATATAAAACAGGAAAAATCAACAACACTCTTATGATGTGCTTGGAAGTGATGAAAAATGGGGATTAGTGGATGGAGAAGATCATGCATTTTATGAATACATTTTCTCCGTCCTCTATACTTATTCAATTTCTCATCTCAACAAAGCACACCCTCAAGCAAGAACATATACATTTTACACATAATAAAATTATATTTATTATGTTGGCTTAGTCTACCATAAGAAGTTACCAAGTTGAGATGGAGATGAGTCTTCGACATCATTTGATGGAGAATGAACATGTCTCCCTTCATATGTGGTTATCACCATCCTTGGATCCTCTGCTAAGCGTTCCACGCGTTTCTTTACCCGACAATTATCTTGTGTGCAACGGTAATAGCTTCTGCATGCAATGCAGGTCAAACACATAATAAGACACTTTTCTTTTGATGAGTTTGTCATGATCATATATTGAAATAAGTGATTTTGTTGAGGTCTACATTGATGACAATTTAATAACAAACATGTTATAATCGGAATCAGTGTTGATCTTTATGTAATTAAGAGCCATCAATACCCAACATAAAGGCACTATAAAGTCCATTGGTATCCATAAGACAGGAAAGTGCTATAATGGGTTTGTGAGGAAAAGTCTTGGCAGAGACCTACTTAGCATAAGTGCCATGATCTGCTCTTGATAGTAAGGAAAAAGTTATCTTAGACACGTACATTTTCATATACAATAACATCTCAGGGGTCATAACTAGTTGTTCTTTAACCTTGGCAAAGTTTCTTTCTATACTTAGAACAAAGTTATATTATACACATTTTGAACTTGACAGATAAAGTGAAGTTTTGCTTTTATATATATATATATATATATATATATCTTAATTATTGTAGGCACCCCCACATTATTCAGAAAAAAATAAGATCTAGCAAAGCTGAGTAGATGTAATTATGATCAAAACAATGAAAACAATGATGAGAGACGGGTAGCGAGATTGGAGAGAGAATACATGTTTGCTAGTGTTGGGATACGATGATCATCAAAGGGTTTGATGAATTGAATATTCTTGAATCAACTTTTAAATTAAAGCAAAAGCAAAAAGAGAGGGGCTTTGAATTCATGAATACCTGGGGTGCTGCGTGTTCTTCACAACTTTCTGTCCGTACTTCCTCCACTTGTAGCCATCGTCCAGTACATCCACATCGCTCATAGTCTTGAAGCAAAACCTAGGCTCTCTCACCTTCCTTCTTGCCTTGATTTTCTTCATCTTCATGGCTGAAATTCCCAGATGATGATCATCAAATCCACTTCTTTTACTGCTGAAGCAATCACTCACTTCTCCCAATGCCCTAAATTGTAGATAATCAAACACCAACTCTCTTTAGTCTGGAAAAAAACTGATATGAATGTCTCTGCTGATGATTAACTAATTACATGATAAAAACAAGGTTATAATACAATTGACATGATTGGATGATGGATGATTTATATATGAGAATCAAATAAAGTGAGGTATTGTCTCACCATGGATTTACACTGGATCTACGCAAGGACAGGAATTGAGCTCCTCCAAAGGTGGAAGTGAGGTCTTCTCTTGACTTGTGAAATAGGGTTTCTGTTAGATTTGATGTAGAATCTTGTTGAGATATAGCAAGTGAAGAAGGTGCTATGGAGCTGAAGGCTTTCAAAGAGGATTGGTGACAACCCAAAGGAGGGAAGGTAAGGTTTGTTGGAAAGGGAAAGAACCCCATCTGTGTAGGAATCTGATCCTGCTCCTCAAATAAGCTGTGGTGAGCAATGGTATGGGAAGTTGTTGACATCACTTCTTATGATCTTTTCTCCTTCTTCTCCTTCTTCTCTTTGGTCACCACTCAATAATCTCTGAGTAGATATTGGTGATGTTTCTAGAGGAAGAGGTTTGGTGTGGATTGAAATAGGTGGTTCCTCTCAAAAACCTTTGGGGTGAGAATTACACCCTCATGGAACGCATAAACTTATAAGGTTGCCAAACCAACTTTCCCTTTTTCGCTTTGTCTCTCTCCTTTTTTCTTTCTTCGAGGATTTGTCAATTTCTAAAATGTTTTTGTCATCTATCGTATATATTCCAACATGTGAACTATGGAAGGTGAAAAACTAACTATGCATATGTGTAATAAAGAGAAATTGAAGGTTAATTTTAATAAATAAAATGTTGATTACATGTTATATCTATCTCATCTTAGATGGATAATTGATTAAGATATTCGACATTATTTAAAATATTTCATAATTTTCATGTAATTATATTTATATATTATTATTTTATAAAATATTTGATATTTATTTCATCTAGAAAGTACTCTTTTATCAAATCATCATTTATTACATATTTTTATTTCTTTTAAAATTTAATTAACAGAAAGGTTAAATATGATGAAATAAAACATGCGATGATAAAAATTATAAAATGATTAGTGTATAATAAAAAACCTACAAAATATTAAAAAATTTACTACAAACTGATGGGTTAGACCGATTGTTGGTTAAATTGTAATTATTAATAAATATTTTATAATTAAAATATTAACATTAAAAAAAACAAATTGGACATAGATGAATTTTATGATGGATAATTGTGGAGCGTGGAACGAACTAGAAGAAAATGTTAAAAAGGGGTGCGAGAAATATGCTAAAGGTAAGGCGAGAGAGACTTTTGGTAACCATTGAAGAGAGATATGCAGTTGGATGCAAACAGTGATGTACTGTTTTGCCTGAAAAGCTTGGAAATTCCATGTCCTTCATAGTTAGTGGGATTTTACTGTGCATGGAGGTCAACATTACACGACAAATGGCTCAACAGAGAAGTTCATTGATATCTTTGCCCTAAAAAATGTCTATGAAACTTCCATGCAACATCTTCCCTTCTTGTAGATAATAATTATATTATGGGCAAAAGTAAAACCTGTTGAGTGCACAATAATAGATATAGATACCTAGCTATAATCAAATATAAGTGAAAATTATCGATCATATATTCATCAATTCACCATAAAGTATCTAAGAAAAGATATCAGGTGATACTTAGTATGTTTTAAGATTTTTTTTTTTATATATTTTTTTCAAAGTTTTTTTTTTTTGGGATATATGTTTTCCTATAAAGATATTTTTTGGGGGAATAAAGAAAAAAAAATCTGAGGAAATGATGATGAATATTGGATGCATTATCTATCACACCCATCTCTGGAACGGTGGCATTATGATGGGTGATTGCTTATTTGACTTTATACGGCCAAAAAAGCCTCTTGCCTTTCTCATATCTCTTTTGCCCTTTTAACTTTCTAAAACTCCAACTAACCCCACAACACCAAACTTTTTTCTCAAATTCCAAACCAAACTTATAATATTGTTATCATGCCTTGGATTAACTTTGTGTGTGACAATCATGATTAACTTTATATTTTCCCATGCCTAAAAATCTGTGGACCTATCTTCCCATTGAAAGCATGTAGTTCATCTACCCTCTTCAGAATTTTGCCATAATTCAATAATTATGTTTTCTTTGTACTTCATATTTCGTTTGTAGAAATTAATGAATATAGTGAGCCTTTTTTTTGTTCGGAATAATATTTTAAACAAAAAAAATTATATATTATTGAGAGTTTTTCGGTTATATGTTCATTATTTTCATATCTAAAATATTATCTATTTTTCAATTTTTATTATATAATATTTTATTCTTAAAAGTAGGTGAAGAGATAATAATGTTTATATAATATATAAACTACTATTAATCTAAACTCTTAAACCATGAGAATTCTCTTATCAAAATTCTTCAATCAAAACTAAAAAAATTGAGTAAAACAAAATTCTGTTTTTAATTCTAGCATAAATATCAATATTCTCTCAAAAAGCACGCGCCATTTTTATTAAAAGAAAATTTGATTGAGGAATCTTATTTTTGAAAAACAAAATTTACTGTGTTATTGAGGTGGTGATTTTTGTTCATATGGTTGTTTGGATCTAATCGAGGCCAGGCTTGTAACGTATCAACATTTACACCTACTGGCGGATTTTTTTAGGTGAAGGGATTATGTCTTTAAAATTTTCTAATTTTTATTTTTAAATTTAATTATAACTAGATATATTTCTTTATATATTTATATTTATATTTTTTATATTTATTTATTATTTATTAATAATATATTTGACTAAAAAATTAATCGTGAAAATCCGTTATAATTTAGGTTGTGAAAAACAAACTTGAGCTAACTAATCATACATTTAATTAAACTTGGAAAACCTCAAGCATTGAACATTTTATTCACAATGAAATGTACATTGACACACTTTTTTTTTCATAATTTGATAATATTTTCAATTAAAATAAAAAATTTAATATTTTTTTATATCATAAGACTTAGATCCCTTAACATAATTAAATATTTATAAATAATTTAATAATAACTTGAAAAATAAAAAATATCAGATAATTTTAATAAACATTATTAAAATAGATATGATAATATATTAAAAAATTATACTAACTTAATTATATAAAATCAATTTATAAAAATAAATTTTATATTTCTTTATATGTTATAATTTTTATATTTTAATTGATTATATATATACGATGTCAGATTAAGCTAATTTAAATCCAAATATTATTTTGAAGCAAATCACAGCGTGCCCAATCCTCTTTTTATTAATTATTATTTCGTTTTTTTTAATATACTGGAAATACTGTAAAAATGAATTTAATCAAGTTATTTATTTGTTTTTTTCCTTAATTTAATAGTTCAAAAAATATTTTTTTATAATCATAAAATATAATAAAAATAAATACATTAAAATACTTATTCTAGGAATACCCTGATACTGCTCCATTTAAAAATTTTGTTATGTAATTAAAAAGAATTTGAGAAGGAAAATTAGAAGAAAATGGGGGTGCATATAGTAAAATGGCTTGTGCTGACGTTAGGTTAACGTTATGATGACGTGAGAGTGAAAAAGTAGAATGGGAATTGTGATATTGATTTATTAATGATAAATGAAGATGCTTTTTTGTTTTTGTTTTAATTTTTATTTTTCGCTTTTTGTTTGAGCCCTAAGTAAGCTAGAGAAAAGGCATAATAGGGGTGGCAAACATGCATCATTTCTTTTTGTCTCTCCTTCTAGGTGGCCATTATGCCATTCAAATTACCCCCTATTTCCCTCACTTTTTTGGTTTTCTCTTTTTCTTTTTAACCCTTAATTATTCACTTAATATATCTATTAACAACAACAAAATTATATGTTAGTTTTTTATTTTACCCTTTTTAAAGTAAAATTTAATGTTACTTAATTTATGTATATTTGCTTGAACTGGTTAAAAAATAAAATTAAAAAACTAGCATATAATTTTTTGTCTCCATATCACATGGTGAAGTACCTGTGCAATGATTACACACACATAAATAATTGCTTCAGTGTTTAATTAATCAACAACATTAAATTATACCATAATAAACTTCGATTATAATAGACTCTTAAAAGGCAAAAGTTTGATGACATGATTATAGAATGAGATTACTAAAATGATTAGAGTAATTTGAATCTAATAACTTTATGTCTATGATTATCCTTACTAACGGTTTATATTGCATATATTGTGATAATTTATAGTGTTTACTTTTGAAATCTCATTTGTTGTGTCATTCAAAACACTATTAAATAATGAATAATGCTGATAATATCTACGATTTTCACATCTAAATATGGTGATATGTCCCATTTCAATCATAATAAACGCATAAGAAAAGCCAAAAACAAAGATTTGAAAAATGCTTTTTGGATAGTGATTTTCCATAATGGTAACACTTAAACTTCAATGACCAAAGTCACTTTTTCAAGGATTAAAGTGATACTTGTTTAGTGGCATTAGTTTCATCAATGCCTTGTAGTGGTTACTTCTCCATCTTTCTCTTGCTCTTTTCTTCATGTTCTGTCCGCTACTAGACATTAAGATGGTTTTGGTATGGTAAAAAAGAGAGGGAATAAGAGGATGAAAAGAAAATAAAAATGAGTGAAAAATAATGATTGGTAAATAATAAAAGAGTGCAAAGATTATAAACTAAAGTAGTACTAGTGTTTTCGTTTTCTGCCTTGTTTTACGACGAAAAATGTAAAAACATGATTTGCATATTCCAACACAATCTATTATACCTTCACAGTGTTTTGCTATTATGCTCCCATGCAATTACGTTTCTATGCCTTTTTCTTTAAGTGTGTTAGTAACAACAACAACAATAATAATAATATAAATATAAATAATTAAAATAATATTATTTTAACAAAAAATATACATTAATAATAGAATAATTATAAAATATAAAATTTAATATTAAAGAATAATAATATTATTGTTAAAGTTTAATAATTTTAAAAATCAAATTTTATTTTATCTATCATTTATTTCTTTTCAATAAAGTCACGTATATTTTTATTTTATTTTCTTTAATTAAATAATATAATTGTTACTTATTTCTTACTGAATTTTTCCTAATCAATGTAACTTCCTTTTTATTTTTTTTCTAAATTATTTGTCTTTTTTTTCTTCTTTTTCTCTTATTTTTCTTTTCTCTCTATCATTCATATAACAAGGATAATGCATTTCGAGGGAGGGTGACATAGGAATGTCATAGTGACCCAAAAAATTTATATTCCTTTAAATTTAATATATAAAATTAATTTATATATTTTTACTAAAAAAATAATTAATAATCCCTCAACTTTATACTCTGCCTTTGCCTCTTTCCCAAAAGTGTACAATATTATGAAGCTATAAAATATCATTCTTTTA